TTTGTTATTTTTTTACGGTTTAAAAAACTATTGAGAAATGTATTTTAAAAAACTAAATCCAATCAATACTTTTTAAAGTTTAAAATTAATGTTTAAAAAATATAATTCATTATTAAATTAATTTCTATTTTAACTTAAAAATTCTTTTAAAAATGATTTTTTCAAATTATAATGTTCTTTTAATCCATAAAATTGATAAATATCATTTTTGATACAATTTACATCTATCATGTAATATTAGTAATTCTAATATATAATAATTTCATTTTTGAAGTTTTGTGAAGTTTTAAAAAATTTCTGTTTTTATAATATACTTTTACATATTAAAAATTTTAATGAAAATACTTCGTATTTTTTATTGAAAAAAGTCTTTATTAAAGTAAAAATCTATTTATAATTTTTAAATATAAAATTATGAATGCATGTGAAGAAATATGTATAACTGTAAATCGACTAATTGTTTATCACATAACAATAAAATATAAATTAAAAGTTTGTTTAAAGAAAGTTATTTAAGAAGTTAAATTATCAGAAAAGCAAAATATAAATGAATCAACTTAATCAATGTTATTATTAAATTCAATAAAAACGGTTTTTATTTAAAAAAAGTAAGCTGATTAAGTATCTTAATAAAAATGATTTAAAAATTAAAAGATAAAATGATGTTAGTATTAAAATCAGATCGATAAGTTATTAAAAAAACTAAAGATGAAAATATAAATATTTCTTTTTATATTATTTGTGAATAATGAAGTGTAAAAAACATCTATATTTTCATTTCTTGCTTAAATTTTTACTTTTAATTGAAAATTTTTAATATGAATATTATTTTACTTAGGTATGTTCGGAATTTTACCATGGTTATTTATTTAAATAAATTTTTAAAAATGTGTTAAAATTTTTCATGGTTAATTTATTTTTTTTTGCGTTCGAATTTTTTAATATTATAAAATTTACGATAGTAAAATTATTTTTTGATTATTTTTTAACCTTGCTAGTTATCAAGATTAATTTTTTATCCCAAATTTATGACAAAATTAATGGACAAAGAGACTAAAAGATCAATTTATTTAAAGAATAATGAAATATATAATAAGAAAATTGAAATGTTTTTGAAAAATCCACACAAGATTACTTTAGTATTGAATAAAATTATATCAGATTTTAACAATAAATTCAGTGTTATAGAACTTAGAGAAAAATACAATAACTTAATAAAAAGATTTAAAAAGCTTAAGTTGGAATCACATAAAAGTGGTAGTGGTGGAGTGAGGTAGAAATTTTATCAAGATATTTTACATAATGAAATGAAGGGATGTGAATTGGTTGTACCAAATTGTCATGATTCTTTAACTATCTACGATGATGAGAATTTTAAAAGTGAATTAACAAGTGTGTGTGATAACGATAATACCATTAAAAAGGAGAATAAGACAAAATCTAACTTTTCAACAAAGATAGATTTTTCAGAGAAGATTCCCGGCAAAAGATTTTTTATTAGAAAAATTAATTAAATCACCAGAAGAAACACAGACTGTAGATGAAAGACTAAATAGATTAGATAAAATAGTTGATGAATAAAAAACGAGTAATGATAAGATATTAGAAATTATACAAAGATTTTGTAAAAACTAACAAATTTTATTTTATTCATTTATTATTTTATTAATTAATTTATCTCGTGTGTTGTTTAATCTATTATTTATTGAAAATTATAAATAATTACAACTGTATAAACCATTTAGAAGTGAATTCATTTTCATCATTTTTTATTTAAAGACTAAATCTTTGAAGTTTTCTTTTAAAAATACCAGTTGTCCTCTCAACAACACTCTCTGTGGTATTAGTAAATCATTATATCTTAACTGATCATCATTCAATATACCTTTAAATGGTTTTTTAATATAATCAATACTCAGATATGCTGCATCGTCTAATATATGATAGTTTAAGTTAGTATCAATAAAAATATTATCATGCCATTCTTTAAATTTTGACAACTAAAACACATTTGAATCATGTGATGATCTAAATTTACCACCAAAAAGATATCTTATTTTAAAATTTACATCAGCCACTCTTAAAAAAATTTATTTACACGTCCTTTTGTGTTCATAAATTTTCCTCTACTATTAGTTAAATTAGTTATTGAGATATGTGTACCATCTATAACTAATATAGTAATAGAAAAATTATAATATAACATTTATTTCATAATTGATTAAATTGTTCAATGTTAGGTAGTTCAATGTAATCATTTTTAAATTTTAATATTATTTCAACAACTTTTTTAACTTATAAATATGCTTTTGAAACTCATATGCCAAATTTTGATATATGATCTCTATTTGATATTTTTCTCCTTATAAAATATAAAAATACAAGGAATTTATGTTGAATAACTACTAACGATGTATTTAAATGTGTATAAAATATTATTGTAAGTAAAATGTTTGATTCTCAGTTAAATCTAAAACTTTTGTTGATTTGTAATTCAAGACCATTCGTTAAAATTTCATAAGACTGACTTCTAGAATGAAAACAACTTTTATTGAAATATTGTTTACATATTATATATTTTTTGATAACATTAGAAAGTTTAAATATAGTTATAATTAATTTTAATCTTTTATTCATGGGTTGAAATTTTTTAAAAATTTAATAAAAAAACTATGATAAAATTTGCAAACATAATTTTTTGTTTAACCATGGTAAATTTTTTATCGCGTTTATTTATTTATTTTGCTCGAAAAACTTAATATGGTTAGATTTTATGATGGTTTATTTATTTTACTACAGTAAAATTTCCGAATGTACCTAAAAATTCATATATGAGAAAAGATTATTAAAGTAAAGTTTTGTCTAATAAGTTTAGATGAATGTATTTGCTTCTAAAGGAAGAAATTTAGTGAAAGAAGAATAAAAAAACAACTATTTTAATAAATACATATCATTAGATAAAAACGTAGTCATAGAAATGTTATGCTTTGGGATGATTTAAATAACGGTGTAATAACATTAGAAATTATTTAAAAATATGAGTTTAATTTTGTATGCTAAAATTTTTCATTAATATCTAAAAACCAACTAATTTTAAAAATTAAAAGAACATTTAATTGTTCAGCAAGATAATAATCAATAGTTCAAAATATACTACTAGATAAATAGATATTTTTAAAATATTATAAATGTTTTAGATCATTTATCTCATACTTTGAATCTCTATTTAATTTAAATTTTTTACCAATATTTGAAATTACTTTTATATAAAAATGTTAAAAACTTTTAAGAAAATGAAATATAGGAATAATACAAAATAGTGGTTGAAGACTATTAATACTATATCTACTTATAAAAAAATCAAAATCTTTTTATTTTTAAGATGAACATTGTTAGTTTAGAATTCATTTACAAAATTTTTTGATCAGTATTATAGTTTTTAATTATTTGCTTAATCATATATATTCAATTTTTAAAACAAAAATATTTACACAAAGTTATATCATTGATATATCTATAAAAGATTTTAAGTAATATTTTTAACAATGCTATTAACACGCTTCTTATTTTTTACTGTAGGTATTTTTAGAAATTTTCTATTTTGATAAAAAATGATTAATAGTTAAATTCAACCAAATAAACTTTCTTTAGTTGTCTTCTTTTTATTATTAAAAATTATATATTTATTTTTTATTATTTTTTATATTTCCAACCTTTTTCTTTCAAATCAATAGCTATCGTTATTAATAAAAACTTCGCTTATAACAATCCCCCTATTTTCAAAAATCCTGTTCTCCTTAAAAATCTTAATATATCTATAAATAATAATTTTTTAATTCTTTTACACAAAAATTTAATGTCATTCTGTTTAACAGTACAATATTCTTCTTCCGTACTGTTTGTGTTTTTTAGAAACGATTGTTTTTTTCTAATTCAGCAACACAAAATGGCTTATTCTATTGAATTTCGAACTTTAAATCAATCACTTTCTTTTTTTAAGAATAATATTTATAGTGAAAATACTATTAACTATATAAAGTTTTTTATTCTTTTATTCTTAATATTTTCATAATAAAGTTCCTTATTAGAAATAACACTTAATTGTTTTTACTTTATAAACATGTCTTTTTAAAAAAGAATATGTGAATTTCTTTTTTAAACTTAATCAAATGTGTTATTTTATATTGTGTTAATAAGATATTCCATAACAAAATAAAACAATATTAAGAATTACAATCTATTGATTATATAAATTAACTAGCTATTAAAGCACATTTATCACTATCTTATTACTTATTTCAGCTTTAATATTACAAAGAAAAAATATGGCTTAATAAATTTCATTGTAAAAATTAAATATTTATAAACTATAATAACATCATTATTAAATATAGTGATATAATCATGACTAATATAAGAAACTGGATTTTAACAAGTAAAATATATTTAACAAAAAATAAAGAAATTTATTTAGATTTATTCTTAATTGCTTTATACTCTATTCAACTTGATGTAAAATCTGATGTGTGTACTATAAACCTATTACTATTTTTAGTTTTAACTAAGGTTTATCAAATCAATATCAATAGTATCAAATATTTGATTTTTTAAAATTGACTTAATTTTATAATTTATCTTAATATTTTTATCTTTACATAAATTACACACTTCAGTAAAATTTTTATCGTCGTAAATTTTATATTTATGATACATTATAATCTTAAGAATTTAAATATAACTTAAACAAAAACAGGAAAGTTGAATTATGGTAATTTTTAACAATTTTATCTACCTCTTTACAAAATAATAGATTATATTCAATACAGAAGAAATAACAACAAAATTTTTTTATAGAAATAGGAATATATATAATTTATATTTCACATTGATTAATGAAAAATATTTAATATACTAATCAACCTTCGATTATTTAATTTTTAAAATTTAACCAATGAACAGGGCTCAATCATAATTTCAACTTTGTTTAAATGTAATATTAAATTTTTTTAGTTTGTAAACATTTGTTAATAGCTCTTTATCGATAATATTATAGAGTGTTTAAAAATATAACAATTTTATTTTTAATATAAGTGTAATACTATATATAAATATGTAATTTTTATCAACAGATAGGATTAAAATTAAATTTAGACTAAAGGTTAAATTGAAAAATACAAAATATTTTTTATTTACTTTTTAATTAAGAAATATTAAAAAACTTCTTAAAAATTCAATTTCATTTTTTGATAATTGGCTTGCTTATATCTTATTTGATAAACAGTTAATACATTCTCATAAAATCTTAAAATGTTTTATCTCATCATTTCAAAAAAGAAAAAATTTTATATTATTGCAATTTATTTTTCTGATCTTTTTTCTTAAGTCACCCTTTATCTTTAAATATACCTTCATATATACTCAAATATGTTCGAAAATATTTATATTTTAACTTTGCGGTAGTCAAGGCAGTATATTTATATTCTTTTCATCAAACTAATTACTTACTACATTAGAAGTAAGTTAGAAACTATTATATTACTATAAGATAAATGACTCAAATCTTATTCCAATGACAACTTTCTCAAAATTTTGAGTAAAACATGTTCATAAGGTTCTTTGATATAGCATTTTCAATAAACACAAACATTTTAGTCCATTTTTATGATATCTATCTTAATATTATAATAAATCCACTAAAATACTTCATGGTACCAACTGTATTTTATATTCTAATTTTTTAAGAGTTATGTTTAACATATCAAGCAGCATCACTATTAAATAAATAATATCACTTTCTTTATTTTTTCAAAACAAATATAACATTTTTTCAAAAAATAAAATAAAAAATTAATTTATAAAAATTTCATTAAAAGTAAAAAATCAAAGTTTTTTATTAAACCCGACATTGTTTTTTTTAAACGAACTACGAGATTTACAAATCTAGTTTAATATTACAATACTTTAATCTATTTTAAGAACACATATGTATTTATTCCATACACTTTTATCTTCTAATTATAAACACTACTAGTAGTATTTACAAAGATTTTACTATGATTAAAAGCGAAGTGCTAAAATCAAAAATTACTGTTACTAATACGTGTATAAGCACGCCATTCATCAGAATGTATTATACTCCTTGGTATAAAACACTTTTGATTATTGGTGAAGCGCGGAAGTGATTATATTAAGTACTAAATGTAAGGCGATTTTAATTAAGAGAATGGCTCATCTGCTAAATCAAATACACATACATTTCTTTTTAGCTGTCTGTCACAATGGTGTTTTTGTTTATACCTAAAAAACTTTCGTCTATATAAACAATCATGCCATTCTCTCTGAGACGAAGTAGATTTTTGTAGTATTTTTCAAATACAGCCATCGAAAAAAAAACACGTGTTATTATATTAATTTTTTCTTGCGTTTATCCCTGACCCTATCCATACTTTGTTTTAGTTTTTAAATCATTAATAACATACCTGTACTATCCTACTTTGAAGTAAATTGAAACCCGATAATAGTAATCTTTACGAATAGAAATGTATTTACTACAGTTAACACATCCATTATCACACCTTCTTTATTTTTAAAGTAAGATCTCGTTTCTATATCTTATTAACAAGACATAAACTTTACTTACATTTTTAGACACTCTTATTACGTAGAAACTTTATTAACTTTTAGCCCAGTCTAGTAAAAACCGGTTTAAATTTTTTTATATTAATGATTCACGGATTTAAATTTTTATTTTATTTTTTTAATTGTCATTGTTTTTTAAAGTTTTTTATTTCTATAAAAAAACTTTATCATAAATTTTTAAGTATAAAATAAAATTTTTATAAAATAATTTATTAAAAAATTAATATTATTTTATTTAAAAGAATTGTTAATTATAATGGCTTTCAAAATAAAAACACACCTCTTTTTCTTCTAAGTGCAAAAATCTATTTAAAACATACAAGGTTTTTGCTTATAGTGAATTAACAAAGTTTTTTAAACTTAAACCAATTTCATTTTGTTAAAAAATATAATAAAAAAATCAAGAATAAAATATTTTAGAAGTATTATATTTTAAAATAAAAAGGCAAAATTAATTTAATAACAACTTTGTTTTTTTTCGCCTTGTAAATCTCTAGAGTATGTATATGAAAACTATTAAATTAATTATACAACATATTTACATTAATTGAAGAATTAATTTCTAATATTCTTTCTTTTAATTCCTTTTTGTTTAATTTACTGAAACAGCTAGTTTTTTCTTTATATAAACCCAAAGATACTCAATTGGGTTTAATTCGGGACTTTATGGAAGCCATCTCAACAAATTCACTTCCTTTTCATCAAAATAATTCACAACAATACTGATGGTGTGTTTAGGATCATTATCCAGTATGAAAATAAAATCATATATGATGTTTTCTTGCAAATTTAAACAAATATTTTGCTTAAATTATTTTATACTCTCCACCACTCATTTTGTCTTCAATAAAACTGTATCTGAAACACCATAGTATGAGATTGCACCCCATAACATAACACTTACTCCAACATATTTTACTGATGGTAAAATGTTTGAAGTTTCATGCTTCTTTTCAAGTAGATATCGAACATATCTTGCACCATCACTATTGATCAAGTTGAACTTTTTTTCATCTGAAAAATTATTCCTTTTAAAACATCATCGGTGATACCTAAAATTTTTTCAGATAATCTAAATCTTTTTTAATATTTACATTTAACAAAAATGGCTTATTCAATAGATAATTTGTAATAAAATCATTATTTTTGAAGAATCTAGATAAGGTTGATTTGCTGACATTTAATTTAAACTTATTTGATAATTTTCTTTGTAGGATTGGTAATGTAACAAAATGATCTTTGGTATGTTATTTAACTAAAAACATTTCATGATTTGGTTGAAGTAGCTCCTTTTTACAAGATATCTATTTTATCTCATAAAACTACTATTATTTAACTTTAAAATATACCACCAGTCTATGTTTTGAAATATATTCTTTTTATTAAAAATTTGTGTCTGATAAAAACTAAACTTAATATCTTCTTCAATTAAAACATTCTACCTTTCTGATAAATATTTTGTCATATGAAAATTTATTGAATTTTATTTATTAAACTTATTTTTAGAGTAAATTTTTTACACCTTTTTATTTTGAAATATAAT